TACAAAAAAAAAAATTCATTATTTATCGAGTTTCCAAAAAGGTGGTTACATTTTAAGTTTCCTACCGTTTCATATACTTATGTATATAATCTACGTACAAAAGCTAAAATAATATTACATATAAAATTTTATTACAATTAAAATATTCGTTTGGAATTTTTTATATAGAAGAAAACAAACGTCGTTTTGCTTATTTTTCGAGGTTCAAAACAAATCACACACCGCATTTTCAGGAGAGCCTTTTAAATTTTTTTTTAGTTTTATCTTTGTTTTATATCCCTTCTCTAATTCTGAGTATAGAGATTTATTTTATAAAGTCCGATTTTTCTGTAAAGTCATATGCAGCTCAAATATTACATTTCAAAAAAATTATTTGTATAAACTTGTAGTTTTAAATAATTACGGTTTTCGATCGCATGAATTTTTCATAACAGGTTTCTTAAAAATGCTCAAAAATCAGCTGAAAACCTTACTGAAATATAAGGTTTGTAGAAAATTTGTTAATAATTTACCTAAAACTGATTATTGATCTAAAAATGGCTCGTAGAAAAGCTGAGTTTCATATTAAAAATAAAATCATACATAAATTTTTATGCGGCCAAGAGTGAGCAATCTGACACATCACACCGACAAGCAAAAAATTCATTAAAATAGTTTATATTTTTTTATCATCACTATCAAATATAATGAGAATTTATGTTGCAAATTTACATATTGTAAAATTTGTCACTGTCACAATAGCTAACCCTCATATTGCATTGTAATGTGGTCTGTGGAAATTTTGTATGACATTACTAGTAAGTTATAATAATTATATTAAAAATACAAGTATTATTTCTTGTAGTAGTTGTTTTTAAAACAGTTCTTTATGACAATTTTTCCTTATTGGCTTCACATATACTTAGAATACGAAACTTGAATATAAATCCTTACTGATAATAATATTCTTCTTTAAGAAATTCACTTACAAAGTGTAAACAGTTAAAATCTTTTAGTTAAAAAACCATTCAGATTTGGTAATAACTTTCAGTCATTTTAATTTCGATATTTTGTACTTCCTCTCCCGTCATAACAACACAATATTAATTTCACCTTTTTATATACTAAACCTATTAAATTAAAAGCAAAAAATGAAAATAAAATCAGAAAAAAAGAACTATTTTTAAAATTATTTAACGCAAAAGCAAAAAAAAAAAAACAAAGGATTGAACAGAAAAAAATCGAGTTTCAGTAATGCAGAGAAAAAAAACTTGAATTGATATTTTCCAATTGAATTTTTTTACTGGAGGATGCAAAAAAAAAAAAATAGAAAAACAAAAACAATAAAATGCATATATGAAAAGATAAACTGACCTTATTACTCTTATTTACCAACATTTAAACAATAAAAAACAAAAAACCAAAAGTAAGGAAGAAAAAAAAATATTGTTACAATCATGGAAGGATTTCAGGCTAATTGGAACATGCTGCATAAATTGTGAATATTTTAAATTAATTAAATTTTAAAAGGATTTTCAAAGGATATGCAAAACAATAATAACATTCTATATATATATATATATATATATATATATTGTATGTACTTATAAAGAAGTTGCCTGTTAAAAAAATAAGGTTTAAAAGAGAATGCAAAAGAATAAAGAAACATTTTTTATAATTATTATTGGTGAAATACGCCCATTATTCAAGTTATTTTTATAGTAACTCAATTGAAATTCCATTAACGCAAATAATTGAATAAATAAATGAAGAAAATGAAGAAAAAAATCTGTAATTTTATTTTTACTTTTTTAAAAATTATAGCTATAAGCGCATATACGAATATGAAATCACTTGAAATATTCAAAAACAATGTGGTATTTTCTTAAAACTTTTACTTTATTTGAATTTCGAACGCGTGTATTCCTCTAGGTATTTCTGGTTTTTACATTAAATAATTTACTTATTATTTTTGCCTAACATTTAAACATTTTGATATTGTCAATGAATATGCTTGTAAAATTTGATTTTGGTTATTGTTTGATTCAAGCCTCAAGTCGTTAATTTATATTGTCCAAAGGGTTAAAAAAACTCTACATTCTAATTGACAGCATCGTCTTTCTAACGAAATCTTTTTCTTTTTGATTTTCAAATTTGGATAGATAAAGAACATCAAATGCAGTGAACAGTCCCAAAAGTACAAAAATTAGTTAAAAAAATGTCGAAAATAAGAATGTGATTTGCATTTCACTGTTGTTCTTTATGCTATAATTGTCTAGCAATGGAAAATTCTTAATAATCAAAATTTTCACTTTCTTTTGGAGTACATTTTGTTTAGTGGAGAACCCATTTTTGGACCAGTTTTTAAGTAAAACATTTTGTGCAAATTTTATTCAATTTTTATACATACAAATTTGTATCGGTTCAAGTTTTGTATTGAAGAATCATCCCTAGCACAATAATATTTTATTGAAATTAAAGGAATATAAAATTTAAATATGTTTGCAAGGGTAATATCACTTAAAGGCGGTGGCTTTGTTTTTCAATTTTGTATGATCGTATCTAATGCTTGTTAATTATGTGCATTTGAGCAAATTATGCATTGAGCCAACTGATGGTGCTTCAATTGCAATAACTTAAGTTCTTATGTGTTGCAAAAATGAAAAAGATAAGATTGTACAAACATTATATAAAATTAAATTTGTCACATTTTCAGAACTTTTCCAAAAAAAAAAATGCTTACTAGTTTTACTTAGTCCGTTTATGCATCCGTGGGTTTATTCTTAAAACTTCTACACCCCTTAAATTAGAAATATGACATTTTGTATACAAGTAGTTCTTTACTAGGAATTTATCGTATTTGTTCTTTAGTAATTGTACCACACTTTATCTGATTTAATTAACTTTAATCAAAAATGATAACAAGATCCTGAATATTTTAAAAAAATTTTCCCTTGAACTCACCTAAATATATGCAAATGAAACACGTAAATGTAATTGATTGAATCTCTGAGTTCAGATAAATTATTCTGAAAATTTTAAATATGGAAAACATACAATATATTGTGCAATACTTGCACTATGATTTGAAAAAATATTTCTTAAATTGAATGAGCTATTATAATTCTTGTACTGAATTCTGATTGATTTCTACGAAATAATATTTTATTATAGATTATATTCAAAATGATAAAACACACACCCAATCACTATATTTAATTTTCTACATAACACTTACCAAATACAAAATATAGGTGACTATATTCCAATTATACAACCATCCATATGTTATGCTAACTGACTTTGATAAAACGAAATAATCTGGTAAGGTAAATAGGGTATTTCTGTAATTTATTGTTTTATGCTTTTTTCCATAATAATTGCATTCATTTTTATTGTTTATGCTTAAGTCTTACTGTTAGTTATATAATATAACTCAATCTTTAGAAAAAAACTCATTATCATTTCTAAATTTGAAGTCTTTTTATTTAAAACGTTTATATTTTCTACCTGCCTGGTACGGTCCATTGAATATCTTGAAGCACTTTAGATACAAACACTTATCTGGAATTAATTTTTTGTTATGTATGCATAATAACACCATAAAGGACATGTATGCACTGCATATACAAACAAAAATAACTATCACCTTTAAAAACTGGTAAACTAGTTTGCATATTGCCGTTAGTTAAATTTTATTAAATGTCATTTTACTACTATTATTTTTGCCTTTCCAAATCACCTCATGGAGTACGTATAAGTGTAGCAGTAAGAGTACTCGTAAGTTAGTGTGTGTATGCTTGTTTACAGTGAATGTTTGATTTTTTATGCTTTGATTTTTCTTTTTCCTCCTATTTTTTTTTTTGTTTTTTTTTAAATGTAAAGCACTTTAGCAGAATCCTCCAATTTGCAATAATGAAGATTTTTTTTGTATACCATAGCAAAGAGAGAAAATTATGAATATTTATGTATTATGTAAATTTTTTATTTTAAAACAAACATTCAATTTATAGTTATTCTCCTTCTTTTCATATGGTTTCCTTTTAGTATTTTATATTTCCCGAGTATGTTATGAAAATATGAGAACCAAGTTAAAGAATTTTGTACACGTATTTTCAAATATGAAAATATTTTAAAAGTCGGGGTGTGGCTTAATGAGTAATCGAGTGGAAATCAGTGTAAGTCTAGTCAAATGAAACTTATTAAAATCGCATTAGAAATTATTATTTAACACCAGAAATCGAAGCATTTTTTGCTATAATTTGAGGGACATTTTAAATAGTAAGATTTAGCCACATTTTTCATAAGATTTCCATTTTTTATTTCCGTTATAATAATTTCAAAGGTATTACTGACCACAACGATGACATTAAAACCACTTTTATAGGATAAAGTATTGGTGGAAGAAATGGTGGAGGGAGGAAAACGTGCTACCTACAGTGGAAATGTAATGGTATTCAAGTTTTAGTTTCATGATTAAAAATAATGAGTAAAGAGCGGCACATAATACACGGTCCATAAAATATAACACGTTCCATAAAATATAACACGTTCCATAAAATATAACACGTTCCATAAAATATAACACGTTCCATAAAATATAATTATTTTATATTCGTATTAAAAAAATTTGGGTTGCAAATGGGGTAGTACCGCGCAATATAGAGAGCGGTTTCCAGCTAGATCTCCCAGCTTATGCTACTCAACTCCAATTTCTCAGCCTGCACGGGGCGCAACCTGCTAAGTTGAGCAACTCTTACGAAAGATCGGGTATCCAACCCCGGTGGTGTAGTATGGGTCAACGAGCAAATGAGAATGGGGGCTTTGATGGGGCTACTTCGACATATTTGATTTAAAGGCTCATCAAAGTTTACAAAGCCAGGTAGGGTTTTGTAATAGAAAATGGCGTCGGTGGCAGCGGCGGCTTTTCACAGCTCTTTGGAGTTACTACCTTGGCGTCAGGTGGCAACCGGCCGTAAAAGAATCAGCCAAAAGAAAATATAAACTCCATGATGAAAAAAATGAGGACAAAAAGTAAAAGAGATAAAGTTAGGGCGTTCCCCATAAGCGACGAACCAAGAAAAATGAAAAACTCAAGAACAAGTAAAGCAAACAGTAAAATGAAAGTTAGAATCGGAACCTGGAACATAGGAAGTCTCACTGGACGAAGCAAGGAACTTGCCGAAGTTTTGAAAAGAAGAAACATAGATATATGTTGCATTCAGGAAGTGAAGTGGAAAGGAGCAAATGCACGTCAAATTGGTGAAGGTTATACAGTGGTGTACAATGGGTACGGCACTAAAAATGGTGTAGGAATAGCGGTGAACGAAAAAATGTGCAATAACATAATTCAAATAAAACGCATAAACGATAGACTTATGTACGTCAAGATTATTATAGAAGAAAATATATTTAACATTATAAGCGCTTACGCCCCTCAAACAGGATGTGATAGTCAAACTAAGTTGATATTTTTTGAATGTTTGGAGGAAACATTGCAATCGTTACCATTAAATGAAAGTACAATCTTATGTGGTGACCTAAATGGGCATATAGGAAAGATAAATGTCACTAACAACCCAAGTCATGGCGGATTTGGCTATGGACAAATTAACTAGCAGGGAGAATGGATCCTCGATATATTCAGCGCTTATGATATGAAAATTATAAACAGCTGCTTTCAGAAGAAGGATGAACATCTCATTTCCTACAGTAGTGGTGGTACATGCTCTCAAATAGATTATATTATTTGCAACACATCAAACGCACGTCAGTTTCTGGATTGCAAAATCATACCAGGAGAAGCCCTTACGACCCAGCACAGACTCTTACTCGCAACATTTGAAGTAACAACATCCAAGCTAAACAATGTTAACTATTACCCCAGGAAAACTAAGTGGAACAACATCTACAAAAGCGAGGGTAATACATTTATTGAGCGGGTTAACCAAAATTGCGAAGAACTTTGCATATTAAACAGTTCAAATGAAAGAGAAAACCATGCACTGGAACATTGCTGGCAAGAATTTCACAAGGGGGTCAACCGCTTGGCAAATCAGCATCTTGGTATTACAAAAGGTAAATCGTATGGTAAGAAAGAGACGTGGTGGTGGAACGTTGAAGTGCAAGAGGCGCTTAAACAAAAAAAGAGGGCATTTAAAAGTTGGCAAAAATTACCAACAGTAGAAAACCATGCCATCTACAAACAAGAATGTAAAGCCGCAAAGGAAGCTGTTGCTGCTGCTAAAAATAACGCCTACCAAGAGTTTTATGATAATTTAGAAACGTCAGACGGGCAAAATCAAATTTATAAAATAGCCAAAATCAGAGACCTTGCCAAAAAAGATCCCATATCAACTAAATTTATTTGTAGCAAAAATCTAGAGCTATTAACGACCAACGAAGCTGCTAATAAAAGATGGGAGGAGTACTACAGCGAGCTGATGAATGAGGAATTCGAACATGATGCTTTCGAAAATTTACCAGTTGTGCATGGTCCATTAAACATGATATCCATAGAAGAAATAAAAGTAGCGCTACGAAGTATGAAAAATAATAAGTCCGTTGGTCCCGACAACATCCCAGCTGATCTTTGGAAGAAACTGGACTCTCAGGGAGAAATGATACTGCAATCGATCTTCAACAAATTGATAGAAGGTGATGTGATACCCGCAGATTGGAGAAATAGCTTTCTCGTCCCTTTGTATAAACACAAGGGCAACGTACAACATTGCGAAAACTACAGGGGTATTAAACTGACGTCGCATACGTTAAAAATCTGGGAAAGAGTAGTTGGAAATAAACTGAGGCAATTAATACATATCAGAAATAATCAGTTTGGTTTTGTTAAAGATAGTTCAACTACTGACGCAATACAAGCAATTAGAATCTTGCTAGAAAAATACAAATTAAAAAAAGAAGATTTACATATTGCGTTCTTAGACTTAGAAAAAGCCTTCGATCGTTTGCCCAGAGAAATCATTTGGCAAGCTCTTCGATATCAAAAGGTCCCAGAAAAATATATTGACGTTATAAGAGACATGTATACAAATACAACAACGCAAGTAAAAAGCAGGAGTGGTCTTTCAAACAAATTTAAAGTTGACGTTGGCGTACACCAGGGATCGGCTCTGAGTCCACTTCTTTTCATCACTGCTTTGGATTATATCAGCAAAAATATCGACGATCCAGTTCCTTGGACAATTTTATACGCCGACGATATTGTAATTCTCGCCGAATCTTTAGAGAAGTTGCAAACCAAAGTAGATCAGTGGGTCAACGCTCTTGAAAATAATGGTTTAAAAATAAGTCGAACGAAGACCGAATACATGTATGTACCATTCAAAAACGAATTGTGTATAGGTCCTATAAATACAATTAAAATAAAAAGCGAAGCAATACCGATAACGAATGCTTTCAAATATCTTGGTTCAATTATATCATCAAGTGGGAAAATCGATGGGGACGTTACTAGCCGTGTCAATGCTGGCTGGATGAAGTGGAGATCGGTAACAGGTGTCATGTGTGACAAAAAGTTCCCGATTAAACTAAAAGGCAAAATCTACAAAACGGCGGTCAGGCCGGCTCTTATGTATGGGACAGAGTGCTGGGCGGCAAACAAAACCCATGAACAAAGACTACATGTCGCCGAAATGAGGATGTTAAGGTGGTCCGCAGGAGTGACAAAATTGGACAAGGTACGAAACGAGCACCTCCGGGGTAGCTTTAAGGTTGCCGACATCAAAGAAAAATTAACTGAAAAACGTCTGAGGTGGTACGGTCACGTCATGCGTCGAGATGAAGAGCACGTCGTCAGAAAAGCCCTTGACATACCAGTGCCTAAGAGAGGACCAGGTAGACCATCAGCAACATGGCTAGGAACAGTCAACAGAGATATGAGAAAAGCAGGATTGAACGCAGCGACAACCCAAGACAGGTGTTCTTGGCGCCTCAGATCACGGAGGGCCGACCCCAAATAAGGGACAAGGTCATGAAGAAGAAGAAGAAGAAGATTCGTATTAAAAAAATTTGAAATTTAATAAATTTTTGGTGTTCTCGATGTAGTATACAGAAAATTTTAAAATTTTAATTAAGTTTTGCAATTTCAGTCTACCAAAGTTGTTTTTAACTTGTATTGTTTTGCCAAAGCAAATAATAGCAATCTTTATACCAGTACGGACGTATTCTAAAAATGACTTTAATCTCATCTCTAATATGTATATAGCTGCAGTCTTTACTGCCCACTTGAATATTTTATAAACAATCGAGAAAATATAGAATGGCGTTTCTTGAAATTCTTTTTGTTAAGAGAATGATATTATGTCGAATTTTTCAGAATTATTTTCTATCTAACATATTTTATTCTTTTGTATTTTTATAGTGTAAGGACATTCACCTCGAAAAGGTGAGATTTATTAAAGAGAATACTTAATATAAAATAATGCTTTTTCTTTTGTATATAAACATAGGTACTTGTTTTAAAAAAATAACATTTTATTATTAAAATATGCGGTTTTGTTAATAAAATTTAGTATAAAAATTTATAAATAATACTGAAAACATGAAATATAAAGAACAAAGTTATTTCGTATTAGAAATTCCTTAGGGAAGAAACTATTTATTTCATATATATAGAAAAATTTTCCCTGCTCTTTATTAAATATAAAACACAAAAAAATCATTCAATTTAAATTGGTTGAAAAGTTTTGAATGATAAAAAAATAAATTAAATAATATTAAGAAGTTTATTGAGTCTGTTAATAAGGCCATTGGCTAAATTAGGTTGTATCAAGAGTTTATAAAAAATAACAAGAATGTCAAAAATATTTCAAATCACTTTTAAAACATCACTCAATTTTTGTTAATACAAAATGTAGAATGACTGATAAGTGAATTTGTGTGATAAATGTAATAATCTAACCTAGAAACACCGTATTCTGGATAATAAATTAGAAAATATGAATAAATTACAAAACAATATTCGAAGTGTACATATTAGAAATTTACCACTCCTAAATTTGTTTTTCTATAAGATAGACTAACGATTGACATATAAGCATGTACATTTACATAATATACTTTTGATCAGCCTCGAATTCTTACAGAATTCGACTTTGGTTGTTCGTAAATTTTAGTCATATCATAACAACTATGAATTAGCATGAACAAATTTGGTAAGACGGGCAATAATTCAACAAAATGTGGTTGTAGTTTTTACAGTAGTGGCCATAGAAATACAAAAATAATTTTCTCATTTCTCGGAAACTAAAATTCAAATAAAAAAACGAGTTGAACAAAATATTGTTGCTTCAAAAGCTCTTACTATAAATGACAACGCGTTGGAAAACACATCGGAAAATAAATACCTTAAAGATTTTATGGGTTACAATTTTACAACAATATGTTCAGTAACAGGACAAAATGTTATATGAAAAAGTTAGCAGAAACTGCATGCTAACTCTCACATAACTCTTAGAAAATAATTTGCGGTATCATAAAGTTGACTGGATCAATAATTTTTTCAAAGAATTTTCAAATTCTATATTTTTCGTAATTGGAATAATCTCTGCATGTTGTAACATCTTATTCACTATTGCATTTGAATTCTGTACCAAAAACAAAAAAATGAATTCGACTGTATTTTCTCCAGAAAAATTAATTTGAATTTAAAATATGAAAAAAAAATCTTTTAAAATATGAAATTGCTAGAAATTGTTACCATATTTAGTAGTAAAACATGTTCCTTAATATTTCTCTATAAAAAATATGAGCAATGTTCTCAGCTCATATTGTATATAAAATACATATTGTACTACCGGTACAATATGTATTTATTTTTCATTCGATGCGATTCAGTTTGCTTTTCATGTCCATTCGTGAAATTTTGAGAAATTTAATTAATTTTTATTTAAGCTATATACATACTCGTACATATATACTATACATATTACATCTCATTATTATGTGTTCGAAAAAATGTGTTAAATTTTACAATATCAATAATAAAATGTTGTTCATAATTGCAAATTTGTAATCTTGCATAAATATTTTAATTTATTACTAATAGTGTTTGATTGTACTTGAACACTTAATAAAAACTTGTTAATAGTTTAAAATAAATAAATTCATTTGCTAAAGTAAGTTTAAGTAATTGTGATATTGTGTGGAGTGAGAGTGATGTTTTACCGAGCACGTGCATCGAACGCAAGGCGAAATGATGCCACTAATTTCGAATATTGACTTTTCGGAATATTAACTGATTTTACAATTGACGGATTTTCTTAAAATTAAATATTTGAGTTCTGTTTCCTACCGGAACAAATAGAGATATTCAGAGAATTCGGATAGTATTAAATGAATCTTTTTTAAGAGCTAAATTTTTATCCTCATAGGTATCCTCATAGGTAACAGAAAATTTAGTAATATCCTTAAAATTTGAAAAATGAGTTCGACGATCATTTTGTGAAGAAATTTTGTATGAAAAAACTGTTAAAATATCATGAGCTGTCATACAACTTCAAAAGTTATTTAGCTCAGAAATTATACTCGTAGAATCAACAGTATTGAAATTTCCCACAAGCAAATATTTTAATAGGACTCTTATATTCTATAAAACTAG